CGAGGGAGAATTTTGAGAAGGGGATTTCAACCATAAAATCTCAGGCATGTTCTTTGTCTCCCACACACACACACCCCAGAGGAAAAATGGATCTTATGTCTTACACGACGTAATTTATTTTTTCAGGGTGGAAAGATCCTTACAGGCGGATCGGTTATAGAGTCAGATGGCAATTTTGTTCAACCAACAATTGTTGAGATTGCTTCAAATGCTTCTGTGGTGAAAGAAGAATTGTTTGGCCCCGTTCTCTATGTTATGAAGTTTAAGGTAGTCTAACTTATGAAAAGTTTATCTTGCATTATTATTTTCTATGCGCTTCTTCTCCGATAAATGTTGCGGCTTTTGTTCAAAAATATGCAGACTCTTGAAGAAGCAATTGAACTGAACAATTCAGTACCACAAGGACTGAGTAGTTCAATTTTCACAAGCAAGCCGAATACTATTTTCAAATGGATTGGGTAAGTGTCTAAAATGGGTAATGAGATTAGAAAGTGACCAATTTTCTGACAGGGAGATTTCAAATTACAGTGTTTTAACTGTTTGCATTTGAAAACGATGCAGGCCACATGGTAGTGATTGTGGTATAGTGAATGTAAATATACCTACAAATGGAGCTGAGATTGGCGGTGCCTTTGGCGGAGAAAAGGCAACTGGCGGTGGTCGTGAAGCAGGGAGCGACTCCTGGAAGCAATATATGAGGCGTTCAACATGGTAATCTTTCATATCTAAATTGATCACATATCTAAGTTGATTGCAGGACTGTTTTATGATTGTTTCATCATTGACATGAGCAATTCTTATCCTTGACAGTACAATCAACTACGGGACTGAACTACCACTTGCTCAGGGTATAAATTTCGGCTAGTGAACCAGGCATCACAGCAAAGCTCGGTCTAAACTCTTGGTCATGACATGTCAAGGAAGGTACTTTCTGCCGAATCTGCTGCTGTCATGGTTACGAGTACCGTGCCAGCTTGAATGTGTGAAAAAGAAACCTTAAACAGATGTTTATGATGATTTGGTCTCTGGCTGATGCCAGATTTCTAATCTTGACAAATAAATGGAACTTTCTTTCATCTTTTTTTTTGGGAAATAAAAGCAGTGTATTCAAATGGTTGTGCTTGTGCTTTGTGGCACTTCTGCTTTTTGCTTTTGTTTAAAGTCCATCTGTGAACCGATCCAGTATACATCAAACGGGCCCAACAGATGATTGTGGTAGCAGAAAGCCCCTTTAGACCTATCGCTGCCAAGGTTGACAGGCCGAACGAGTGTGGCCGATATCTCCTGCGATCCTTGACCACTTGTATACAACCGGTGATGAATATCTTTTCCCTGATCCGTTGTATGTAATTATGTGTTTGTTATTTATTGTTTTTAAAAGACACTAGCTGGTGGCTTAACCACGACAGTCCATCCTTTGAGGGGGTCAGAAAGACTCACTGATGTCTTTCAACCTTCCCTGGCTACCATCATTTGATTCACGAGCGTCAGAAATTGAACTTAGAATGTGTCGTACCATCATTTGATTCACGAGCGTCAGAAATCGAACTCAGAATGTGTCGTGTGGAATATGGACCTGAACTTCGTTCCTAACCATTGGGCCATCCCGTAGTGGTTACAAGGGAAGTTTTGATAGCAGTACACGCACTGCAAAGTTCTAACATTCGGACGGCCTGTACGAATGATTTAAAACCAAGCCAAGATAGATGTGTTAAGCATATAGTTAGCGTTCCGTTCGTTATTATACAGCTATTTCCGAATCAAATCTAGCCGAAGAGCTCTCCCCCTATCGTACTGCTTTCATCTTTTTCTTCGTATACGACATTAGACTCATGAGTCTAACACCGCATACGGAGGAGGGGGCAGATGGAAGAATCCTCCACCCCTTTTGTTGTTAAATGTGGGGGCGCCGTACTCTTCACAATATCTATGACAGAAAACCTCTGTGATTGATTTCAAGTCGTTTCTAAGTCAAACAACCGACTAGTGAAACAAGACAGACGAATTATTATAAAATTCAAAAGTTCGTAACCAAGAACAACGCAACAAAGCGTAGAAAATTACTACTGAACCGACAATTATTGAGAGGTTTAATTAAAAAAATAATAGTTTTAACAATGCGTTTTAAATCTCTCGTACCCTGCTCTTTACTTTTAACCATCAGATTAAATAAATCAAATAAAAACAACCACCAAGCTAAATAAAATGTGCGTTTATCGTTTTCCAAAAGAAAAATACATGTTCAAAGCAAACGAATAGTTTATTAGAGAGAACAGTTCGTCAAAACTCAATTTCATAATTAAAAACACTTAAATCACGTTTTGAAGAAAAATAACTCGTAGACTTGACTGCTACTATATCTGATTGTTACGTTATTGCATCCAATTATGATTGCACGACAAGTTAGTAATTTTCTCCCGTAATCTAATTCTTCACATGTTTCTCGCTTAGTAATTTTTTCCCGTAATCTAATTCTTCACGTATTTCTCGCTAACATTATCAGTATTAAAACTTTGACCAATAAAACCTTGGGACACAGCAAAAACCGAGGCAACAAAAGTTGGTATCGAGACGAGATTGAGTGAGTGCTGGAACAACTGCATTCTTTTAACTTTTAACCCAAAAAAGAAGAGAAAAAGAAACCTGGAACGAAGCTGACCCAAGTTACTAGAGTCGGTGCCATTCCACCTGTCCCCCACACTCTTTATTTTGTCGTACTGGATTTATATTTCAAGTGTTCATACTTGGGAGGGACAAATGTTTTGCTACAAGTGCGACAAATGAGACGGTACGAAACAAAACCGTTCATGTCTCAAACCAATTCATACAACTGTGTTTGAAATACCGCTAATTTAACGTCTCAGTTTCATGTCTCAAATCAATTCATACAACTGTATTTGAAATAACGCTAATTTAACGTCTCAGTTTCATGTAAGTGTGCTAAAATTTGCTAACGAGTGAACTCGGTGGTTGTTTTTTTTGTTGGATCAAACAACATTGTCTATAGGAAATTTCTCAGCAATTTCGTTTTGTGCTTCTATTTTCTTAACTTTTTCTTGCTCCAAATAAGCCAATATTACACTCAACTAAAACAGATCAGAACCAGCTAATTAGTCACTAAACCACCGCTAATTAGCAATTAAACACCATAAAAATGGAAGGTTTAGTGAGGTGCATGCATAGAGGAGGTCTAGATTTATTTCCATTAATCTCCCAAACCCAATAATTAAAAAATTCATCGATCTCTATCTTGTCGAAGGAGGTCTGAGTTCAAATTTCATGGACGACGGTTGTTAAATACATAAACAATTTAAATTAGATGAAAGAGAACATAAACCCATGAAATATGTACATAAAATTCTAGAAAAAAAAAACAATGATACTAATAATCCCAATTAAAGCAAGAAAAACCGACCCAAAATTACCTAAGTCCCAATTTATTACTGTATCCAAGTAAAAAACAGAGTTCCTCTGTTTCACATATTTACCTTTTAATCCTCTGTTTTTTACCATTTTCACCTAGACAGAGAAGGGAAGCAACTTCCCGATCGAACAAGCGGCGGCCGGCGAACCCCTTCCACTTCCCCGAGGTTACTACCGGAATTTGACCTCAGGGCTCTCGGAGTATCCAAGCTCCGCCGGAAAATCCGACCCATGGCGAAGATGGGGTGCTCTGTTTCTTTCTGCGACCGGAACTTTTTGCAGAAGTTGATGTGGCGGTTCAGGGCTTCCTCTGTGGAGATGAGCCTATCTGATCGCACCAGTTCGTCTTTCACCGCCTCGACGCAGAGCCCGCAAATCCAACGGCCCTGGTAGCGGTCTCGGACGCGGGAGATGTAGGCTGGGGTGCAATCCTCTGTGAACCCGCAGGAGTGGCATTTTACGCACTGGACTTCGACTGGTGGAGGAACTGGGGATGGTTTAGATGAGGTTTGGTGCTGGGAGTCTGTGCCTGTTATAGCCATGGAACGTAGCAGAACATTGAACTCTCTCTCTCTCTCTCTCTGTTTTATCTCTATTTTTTGGGAACAGAGGAGAGAGAGTGGAGGTCTATGTTATGTAGATGTGTGTGGGAAACCAACCAACAACGCGAATCTCGAGAAATTGTTAGTTGGGACAATAACACAAGTGATACATCACGTATTTTAATAGGGGATGTGAAATTTTATTTTTTAAGTCTTTTTACCACACATATTCCACCATTTGTATAATGACACATGGTATACCATCTCTGTACCAGTCACACTTCAGTATGACCGGTACACTAGATGGTACATCACGTGTCACTATACAAATGGTGAGATATATATGTTAAAAAATTAATCACTTAAAAACTAAAATTTCTCATCACTTATATAATAACACGTGATGTACCACCCATATTCAGATCACAATAAAAAATTTCTCTGCAAGTCTAAGGTAGCGATATTTTTAATCAATCACATATTATTTTTACGTGTCAATATATATTGGTTTCAAATACTGCTATACCAAGCTTTCCGTTACATAAAAGATTAAATTGTTTCTATAAATTAGGGGTTGTGTCATGGATTTTTTACTTTTTTGTTTTTGTTTTTTTTTGGAAACGGATTTTCTTACTATTTAGCCGGGGCCTAAATTGGGTTTTTCATCATTCTGTGACATTAGGTGGAAAATGGGTCATGGGAAATTTATGAGACTCATGGCCATAATTTTGGTAACTACCATTTCTTTTTTGGTCAAGAGCAATCCCTGTTCTTACTCACCATGAATCCATGATTAAATGAAAAGTAGAATTTTAGAATTGCGCAATTATCGTATTCGGAACATTATTGTTCTTCCTTCAGAGTATTTTTACATTCTAAAGTTTTTAGCCGATAAAATATCGTCATTAGATATTTACTATAATTTAATAGTTAAAAACTCCGAAATATACTAAAAAATCTGGTATGTTTAACCCTAAAGTCTTGTTTGGCATGCAAGTTTATGTGAGAAAAAGCAATGAGTGACTGGCTTTCCCTGTCTATAGCATTATCCTGACAACTGCAGTTTTGTTTCGCATAAAAAAGATGAAGCCGCACAGAACATAATCCCCACCTTATCATCCTTATCGCAATATTCTTGGAGAAATACCAGACAGACCTCATGGCTCTCAAACATTTGCTCACTCCATTTTCTGGCTTTCTGTTGGCATGTTTGGTTGCCTTCTCTCTCCAAATCTACTTCTCCCCAATATCTCCAGATGCACTTCACCTCCCTCCACCTTCCCACCTTCCCCAAAACAACATATTACAGGTGTCATAATCATCGGTTTCAGTTCTTAAACGAAAAGCTCTAGCTGGCCGTTTGACAACCATTTTGTTTTCAGTTTTCATAACTGTATGGTAACAAAACTGAAGGACCGAAAATGAAATAGTTAGCAGACGGGCCATGAGCTTTTTGTTTGAAGTATATACTTGTAACCATGGTGTTTGTTTCTGATTTTTATTATTTTTTTGGGTTTATGTAGAAAGTGATTAAACTTGGGGATGGTGTGCTTCTGGAACCGGAAGATGTTGATGTGGATAAGGATGGCACACTCTATACAGCAACCAGAGATGGTTGGATCAAAAGGCTTCACAAAAATGGGAGTTGGGAAAACTGGAAGAAGGTGAATACTGATACAGTTCTTGGAATCACATTCACAAAAGATGGTGATCTTGTTGCATGTGATACTGATCAGGTAATAGCATAACATTCTGACCGAAAAATGGAGAAAAAATATATGCACCCAGAGATTTATTTATCTCTCAATCTTGCTTATCACATAACTTTTTCGTTCTCGCTCACAAAGGCGGAGTCATGAAGGGACCACGATAGTTCCAGGTTAATCCTGTCATTTTCTCCATAGGAGTCAGGGCCCAAATCCGATGTTTTTAGTTTAATTTGTTTCATCAAGTTAGATTTGATATTGGTGGCTTGCTCGTGAGTTTTGAGGAGAAGGGAGAGATGAAGAAAGTCAAAGAAACTTGGGGTTTATGTTTAAAGAAGAAGATGATGGGACCATAGCAAACTCCAGACGACAGTGGCCGGTTGCTCACTACACAACATAGTAATTTTTGTAAAATTAGGAGAGTGTTTCAGATTGAGACTTTGGACCCTTCTAGGCTAAAATTCTGACTCACCCACTGCTCACTTAACACGCTCAGTCACATAATAAGTGAGATATAGTGATAGAGCAAACCTTTTAAACCTTAACTCTCCGCTTACACTATCTCACTCACGAGACTTCTAACTTATCACAATGATTCACCTAATGAGTGAGATAAAGAGAGAGTAAACCGTTTAAACCGTAAATCGCTGATTACTCATAAGAATCTACATTCCAATCCTGAATTTTGATTGTTGCCCCTTGTATGTGTAGGGTTTGCTGAAGATTACTGAAGCTGGTGTGACTGTTCTCACTTCACATGTTAATGGGTCCAAAATAAGGTAAGACTACTTTCCCGTACACAATCTATCCTAAACTACCATATGCTATTGCATGTTAGTTTGGAGGGAATGTCTTGAAAAATCACCTATTTCAATGCGTCATCTATTCAATTGGAGAACTAAAATTTATATATTTGATCCGTTATTCATCGTAAAACATTTGAAATTTTTCACATGCAAAAAAGTTAAAATTGTATGTAATACATATAAACAAGTTATCGAGAGCCAGAAAAATAAAAGCGTGAAAATCATTTTCCTTGAGCAATCGCTGAATATTTTTCCCGAGGCAAAGATTTACTCTCGAGGTTTACTCTCGAGGTGAAAAGTAAAAACTAGATGAATAGGTAGTCAGTGGTTCCATCCAACTGTGGAAAATGACTGGAAGGCAATGTGTTCACTTGGAAAACAACATCCATGTGCAACCCACGCCCAATACAATTCTGATGTGACACCACCAGAACATTACTAATAAGGTCATCTTATTACATATTGTGAGGTGTGGCAGTTTCCTCACGAAATGGGTCCTCTCCAGATCATGTGAACCAAATAATGTCAACCATTCACGTAAAATCATGTGGATGAAATCATTTTTTTTCTTTCAACTTTCTCACTCTTTCACCTCACCTCAACATCGTTATCTTCTACTCTGGCGGCCATCGTCGAAGCAAAACCGCAGAGAAAGAAAGAAAGAAGAAGAAATGAGAAGGCTTGAAGGTTGAAGAATTATGGAGTTGGAATTGGGGTGGGAGGGGGAGGTGAGTGATGGTAGGGAGATCCGCAGGATCCAGATGGTTCGGATTTGGAGATATGTTTCCATGAAATGGGGACTTGTACTGCTTCTGCTTGGTTATTAGACACTTTATTAAAAGAATGGCTTATGTGAAACGAACTGTCACGTAATATCTTGATCAGTAATGTGTTTTTATGTATAAGTTTTTCCGAACCTAACAATTTATTATTTAATTCATTTCATTTAAACTGATCTAGTATAATAAAACTATAAAGTAAGGAATCTATTTCTTAATATTGGGACCGATTGCGAAATGTCATACAAACATCATGGTTTGTTGGTTTGTAAGATGAATCCATGACTGTTGCCATCAAAGTTTGGTACTGTTTTTTCCTTTCAACTAAAGGGAAATGAAAAAAACATGATTCAGTAGAGACCATGTCCAACCAAGAATTATTCCACCTGTATATTTCATGGAGCTAGAGTTTAACAATATGGTCCAAAGGACTCATGGGTCCACAATTCTGCCATATGCATGTGGTTCTTATCCCAAAATAGTCCAAAATGTTAGCACGAGTTGGAAAATACTTTAGTGGTGCTAAGATTAGTCGTTTTACGTGTTCAGACTATTCTTATTTTATAGGTTTCACAATTATAAATGGTCGGAATTAGGTCACATGTGCATACGCGATTGGTCTTAACATTTCTTGTACGAATACATAGATAACTGATCTTTGGCTATTTTACTTTGCGGATCCTACAATCATCAATGGCCAAAATTAGCTCATGTGTGTATAGAATTGTCGCACAATGAAACTTAGTATTGGACATATTTAGCTATGTTTAGTACTAAAAACATTGAATTCACTGGTTCTTGTTTGTTGCTTCAGGTCATCTCTCTAGTTATGTATCGACTGTTCTAACATTTCTCAAAACTAAAAACACTAACATTTCTCAAAACTAAAAACACAGGCCCAGTAAATGAACATATGTTGATGTTTCCTGAAGTTTTAACTTACATGTTAAAGACAATCAGATTTGCAGATGATGTGATTGAGGGACCAGATGGTAGTCTATATTTTAGTGTTGCAAGCACCAAATTTGGTCTCCATGATTGGTATCTTGACATGCTAGAGGCAAAGCCCCATGGGCAGCTGCTCAAGTATGATCCATCATCCGGAGAGACTTCAATCCTACTTGATCACTTGGGATTTGCTAATGGTGTTGCAGTTTCAAAAGACCAAGATTATCTGGTGGTCTGTGAAACTTGGAAGTAAGTTTTGATGTAACACTTCTTTCTCACTCTATATTTTGGATAAGAATAAAGTAATGCTATTTCGACACACAATGCTGACCACGTTGTAGACACACTCGACTCTAAAACAATTATACAGATGGGTCTCATACATAATTGTACGGCGCACCTGTGTTTGAGAGTGTGTCAGCAATCTTATGTGTCTAAATAACATTATCGATAAGAAAAGTGCGTGGCAACCAATTAAAGCATGTGCATGCTTAGATTTAGGTGTTTAAGGTATTGGCTGGAGGGAAAGAACAAGGGGAAGACAGAGATCTTCGTTGAGAATCTTCCTGGTGGACCTGACAACATCAATCTTGCTCCAGATGGGTCTTTTTGGATTGCTCTACTTCAGGTAATACAATCCTAACTGTTCAGATAGTGTTCATATATCTTACGTGGCTTTTGTTGATGTAACAGTTCAAACAATATTCGTATGTCATACGTGTTTTTATGATGTGTGCATGAATGACGCAGTTGACTAGGGAAGGGTTTGAGTTTGTGCACACCTCCAAAGCAGCCAAGCACCTAGTAGCAGCGTCACGGAAACTGACTGAACTAGTGAGCGGAATGCGAACAGAAGCGATGGCGGTGAATGTGGCAGCTGACGGCAAGATTATCAAGAAACTTATGGATCCTGATGGAAGCGTAATATCCTTTGTGACGAATGCTTTGGAGTTTGAGGATCATCTTTACTTGGGAAGCCTGAATACTAACTTCATTGGCAAGCTACCACTGAAAGATGCATAATATGAATCAGAGTGAATAAGAAGCTTGTAGGAAGAATGAAGAACTGGTTTTTCTTGACTTTTTCGTCCCCGAATCGCATAAGCCATGCTTGTTTTTAGGTAATCAGATTCTGAATGCTGTTTCAGCAAGAAATAGCATTTATATCAAGGTAGAACAGAGTATCGAATATGTAATTCCCGCGATCCAATCTAGAAATAAACAAAAGTAGATTTACATCGTCTCCTCAACTTTTTCTTTGTGCCCAGCATAAATCGGTACGAATGCATAAAACCAAGACATTCAACCTAATGCAATCGCATTTTCTTCAACCCTTTCTCTTTAACTCCGTTTGGTGACTGCTTTTCCGACGCGCTTGAGCTGAGGTCTTTTGCCTTTCTGGTGTTGATGAACTCTGAGAAGGATGGAATTGATGGAAGAGTTATACTTGGGGAAGCACTTTCCGTTGGTGACACAGCTACAGAATGTTCTGATCTAACACTGTTGTGGGAGTCACCGCTGGGAGCTTCTGTTGGTCCATCCACCAAAGGTGATGTTGTTGCAGGAGGTTCTGTTTCGGGGAGAGCATTATCCGCTGGGGAACAGTTAATGGTTCCAAGGCGATTAGTTAAGGCAGTTGAATCTGCAGTTGATAACCACCGCACCGTACTTGCCACTTGAGAATAATAGAATGATTTCCCAGTTTTCTTATACTTGTTGTAACACTCATTTTCGAGGAAAGAGGCCGATTTTTCCACTTCAATCCTGCACAGAAGATTGTCAACTTTTAGAACCTACAGATCGAAGGATATTCCATAGTTGCGAGAGAATTTAAAATCTCAAGTGATTTAACTGGTTTGTTGCATATAACGATATAATACATCAGACACCAATAAAAGCTTACGCTAAGTTCCCAAGCCGCTGCTGACCTTGCTTGAGAGCAGTTTGTAATCTTTGCTTGCTTGCTTTCCTCAGCGTATCAGATATAGCATTCTTGTCGGGTTTATTCATCTGTCATCAAATTGGGCAATAATAGGTATTCACGGGAAAAGATAAAATTAAATAATAACAAAAAAACTGCAAAAAATAATCAGATCGAACCTGCGTATCAGAAGATTTATCCTTGTAATATCTTTCTTCTAAACGCTGCAAGCACTCAATCTTTTCATTGAATCCCAACTTTGCTGGCAACTTTGACCTGGAAAGGTTCTTGGCAGCAAGACCATCTGCGATTTGACAAATACAATGAATAAGACATAAACTTGCAGTGTTCTTTAAATCCCCCTTTTCTCTCCCAAAAGAAGTAAAAGGAGAACTATGTTGTAAAAAATATACCATCGGAATCAGATATGTCCTCCTCAGAACATTCTTCATCATCGCGATTCCAGAATTCAGAGGTTTGATCTTCATTTATCACATCTGAGGAGCTGAAATTGACAGACGTTAATGAATAAGCAACCGGAGTTACTAGTCAATGAACCTTAGACCTGCTAATAAAAAAAATCAAATATCAGGACTATGTAAAAAGAGAGCACCTGCTCATAAAAATTCGAGATGAACCAAATTTTTGCCGGGCGACACAAGTAGTTGTGAGCTCCTCTAAATACTTGGACACTAGGTTTGGATGTTTACAGGCATCACAAGTTTTCTTACATAGTGATGCAGGTACCTGTTTCGAATGATATCAGTACGTAGCTCTTTTGGAGCACTGATCTTGCACTCTAAAGTACAATGAAGCAAAAGTTTCACTAGGTTATACTACCTGTTCACCAAAAGTCTCAAGAATCTTTTTTCTACGACATCCAGAACCCTCACAATACTCGACCATCTGCATGTTTTTGAAATCAGATTCCAATAAACAATATTCATAAAGAGTTCATTCACAGACATAAAACAATTATTGCCTTTACCTGCTGGAAGTCGGTCAGAGTTTTCTTTGACAACTCTTCCCGCGAGTTTGAGGCCTTTGACTTCTTGTTATCAGCATTGCTTAGAATAAATTTCTACAAAAATAATTTGAAAAACAAAATGAAGTGAACAATGAAACCAAGTATAGACCAGCATCGGAGTTGCTAGTAGGCAGTCTTATCTAACCAACCATTTTTTTGCAATCATCAATTCCATAGTACAAAAGGCTTCTGGAGAGTTGTTGATCACGACCAGCTCTACCCGACTCTTGGTAGAAGGATTCCATTGACTTGGGAATATTAAAATGACAAACAATTCTGACATCTCTTCTATCTATGCCCTTAAAATTAACCACAAGCCATCAAAGGCACATCAGATCTGGTAAACATTATCTCCAACACGGAGAGAAGAAAAACAAAACAAAAAATTATTGTAAGAGTTCTTTTAAATAAATGGTAATTCAGTTTCATACCATCCTAAAGGGACACCAAAAGCACAATTACTGTCCATGCACCGGAATAAGCTCCAAACGCATATATAAAAGACAAAGAGGCAAGGACATCACAATCACAATCATGAGCTGGGAGCAATAAGATGAATTCCCCTCACCCACACACCCAAAAGAAAGAAAAACAAAAAACAAAGGTTTAATTTATATATACAATCATACCCAAAAGCCACCGTCGCCACGACAACTTGTATCTTAGAGGAAATCCAATTATCTAGGACAGAACTTCGTAACTTATCATTCAACCCTGCATGATAAGCTGAAAGAAGCAAAAGAAACACTAAGAATTATATACATTATATGTGAATAAAAACACAAAGGTATAGGAGCAGTTAATTTACAATGCCAAAAAATTTGATTTACCAGCACATGAAATTCCACTCTGTGATAGATGAGCAGACAACTCGTCACACATTGTACGTTCAAGGCAATAAACAATTGCACAAACATCTCCGCTAGATTTTAGCACACCAGACAGATCAGCATAGACATCATCTAAAAGATCTTTGTATCGAACTGCATTATAGAGAAATCTGGTCAGATTTGTCTATATGCATGTGATGCGAGGTAATAAATATTAGCCAAAAGACAATACAAAACAGGATCTGAATCAAGTCATAGACGCAGGGTGAACCTTCATAATGTATATTAGGACGATTGAAAGAAGATCTTAGGGTTAATGGATTATGAAGGCATAAGGACTCTATCACATCCATCTGAACTCTGCACAACAAAAGAATTTGATGATCAAAGAATATAATTAGCCAGTTCCTCTCACTTTAAAAAGAAGAAATACTGCTCTATAAATCTACAGATGAATTAAAAAATAAATGGTAAAGACGAGCTAATTTTCTATGCAGAGTGTGACAAAAGACTCACTTAGGAACGGCTGTAGCTGTTAGAGCCAATATTGGTACACCTGGGAGGTGGCTCCTTAGAGATGACAGCTTACGGTAGCTAGGCCTATTTCAATACAGCAATTAAGGAGACAGAGAACCAAAAGAAAGCATGTCAGAGTTTCTATGGCGTATAGATCAACATTGTAGCGCTTCATTCTCACTTTATTCGAATACTAATGATAGGGAAGTTGACTTAAATAGGTCATGAAATCTAACAGTATATCTGATAGGGATTAGGCTTATGCTGGCATTTGATTTTTACTACCACTAGTAAGGTTCTTAGACAGTTTTGCTTTTCTTATCGCATTCACTTAAGAGTTTCTGATGATTTATAATCCCCCAATTGCGTGGATCAAACATAATAAATAGTAAATGTGGAAGAGACAATATATCTATTACAAACCTGAAATCGTGGCCCCATGAAGAGATGCAATGTGCCTGAAATTTTTGAAAAACAGATGTAACTTAAACAAAAGCTGAAAAAATGTCAAGGAAACTCAAACATTCACATACACTGGTTATCGGTACAAAAACAATCTAGCGTCACACCTCATCTATGGCAATGAGATTCAACAACCCTCTCGTGTGAATCTTTGTCAGCTTCGTCATAAATCCAGATGTTGCTATCAATTCGGGGGTCACATAAAGCAGCCTCAGAGATGGTTTTCCAGAGTCAAGGTCTTCATGAATCTTAAAATGCAAAAGAGAGACATCAATATTCTCATGCATAAATACATAGGCTCCAATATTTTTTGATCCCAGCGGAAGTCATTTTGATGCAAAGCAAGAAAGACGTCATAAACCCGAAGTCTACCTTAGTTTTGGTTTGGGTTGTCTGAGTCGAGGAGAGATACTCTGCAGAAATTCCTTTCTCCTTCAATGCCATCACTTGGTTTTCCTGGTCAAATAAGAAACATACCAAAATCCCACACTCAATTCTCAGAGCATGAAAGTTACCTAAATTCGACCGAGAGCAATCATAGGCCTACCTACCATCAAGGCTGTACACAAAATGCAAAAGAAAATTCGAGTCAAGTTCAACATTTTCATTTGCTAAAACATGTAAAACATCAAGCATGATATGTAATGCACTTACACACACACACACACACAAATTTGCACACAATTCACCTATTAAAGGACAGACAACAAGCACGATTCCAGTTTTTTTGGCGAGAGCCGGTATCTGATAACACATGGATTTCCCGCCACCAGTGGGCATAAGACAAAAGCAATCTCTCCCTGCAACCCACAAAACACAAAAACAAAAAATGGGGTTTTTCCAAAGTCAGCTGTAAATATTTTCCCGCATTTTCTCAGCAACCAAACAAGCAATCCCTACCGCACTGAGTAAAATGTAATTAAAATACACATAATATACCTGATAGAACAGCTTCAATGGCTTCCAATTGCTTCCCTCTGAATTCAGGATGCCCAAAATGCCACCTCAGCAGCTTCACCAGAGCTTCCTTCTCCAAACTCCGATTCTTGCTACTGCCGCTTGCATTCTGCAACGGCAATGGCGATTTCTTCATATTTCGTTTTTTCACCTGCTCGGTTATCCCTGTCTCCAAACACCACCCAATTGAAATTCGATGAACTGTTATCCCTTAACCCTTGGAAAAGCTAATTGCTTGGATACTTGTATCGGATGAAGACCTTTTTCTCTGCATTTCACAGATTACAGAAGAAGCTGGTCGTCATTCGCGAAGCAAGCCTTGTGAGGGGAAGTGAGAGGAAGAGGTCGATATTATGGGCCTAAATATTGGGCCGAACCGGAGCCCGGCCCAAATTCACAATCTATTAGGGGGCGTTTGTTGCACCAGACTGTCTCGGACTAGATTAGCTTCAGGGACTAAGTTGGAATAGCTTATACTAGATTAAGCTGGACTAACTTAGTGAAGCATTTGGTGCAGTGTCGGATTAACAAGTATGATAATAAAAATAATACTGTAGTTTATTGTCGAAATTAATTTATTATTAATTTCTTCACATAATCTCTCTCTCAGCTTCCCTTCTCGATCTCGAGTCCATCAGCAAGCTGCTCCACTTCCCTCATTAACTTCATAATTTCACCATCTCTCTACTCATCGCCCTCTCAATCTCAAACTTTATCTCACATCATTTGCTCCATCTGGGTCAAAACAAAAACACCACAAACACTCTTCTCCAACTTTAACCCAACATTTTCCTTGCTCTACTCACTCAACTCACTCACAAGCAGCTCATTCTCCACGGCGGAATCGACTCAGCTCGAACTCCAAATCTGCCTTGCTCTGCACCAGTGACTCCACCTGCTCCTGGCGGTCCTTGGTTTCCTTGAGCAGCAGAGAATTCAGCGACTTGAGGTTCTGGAGCTTCTCGGATGGCTTGTCCATGGCGTTGGTGACGATAGGAAATATGAGATTGGGGATTTTTTGCGGGTGATGGTTGGTGGTGGGAAATATGAGATGGGGGATTTTTTGTGGTTGATGTTGGTGGTGGGAAATATGAGATTCAATATTTTAGAGGATGATGACCATGGCGAAGCGAAGCAGCTTGCTAGGGATAGTCTACAGATCTTAATTAAATCCCATCGAAATCCAAAATTAAGAAGCCCATAACTCTCAGAGGGGCTCGCAGGGAGGAAGAAGAAGCCGGTTTTAGCAAGTCCTATGGTTGGGGAAGGCCTCGCTAAGAACCTTTAAGGAGGCCTCTAGTCCACACGAATCCCCTTTAGTCTCACTTAACTTAGTCCCAGCACCTGTCAAACATGGGACTGTAGTCCAGTCCAGTCCAGTCCCATTTAATGAGGCCAAACAAATGCACCCTAGCAGTTTTATTATGACCCAGTTATATGCTCATGTCACGTTAATTAACGACACACATGAATTTTTAACCCTTAGACACATGTGATGTTGTAGTCAAGGGCGGAATCAGTAATTTTCAACAGGACGGGCTATAATTTTCTTTTCCTCCGGTTATTATGTTTTAGTGATGGACTAACTTTGTCTTGGGAGTTGTTAGGGTTGAGTTAACCAATGTTTGCTCAAAGGTGTGAACTAGTCTCTACCGAACGAAGAGGGCGAACTTCATGAAAATTTGCACTACAGTTTTGTAGCTAAAGTAGTTAAGTGCATCTTCTCTTACACTCGAAGTCCGGTGCGAGTGTGAATTTCTTAATAATTTGTTCACCCTTCAATCAATTTAGTCTACTTATGTAACAAAAACGTGATGCTTGATCCCCAAGAAACTTCTTATTGATGATTGCTCTACAAACATCCCATATGAAGCCCATAAATATTGTATTGCTCAGGGTACTTAAATAGTCTCAAAAACCACTAGATGCTTACACAAACTTTCGGGATCGGCCGAGGATGGAGCGACCGAGAAAACATTCACATTCATGGACGAAGTCCCAAGAAAACTATATGAATTTTCCTCCAAATCTTCTCACCTACTTCCCTTATTTACTATAAAATTTCTACTTATTACATCTACCAATGATACCATAAAAATGGCCTGCTTACATTTTGGGAGAACAGTCATCACTTGGAGTAAGACCGATTCTCCCCATTATTCGACTAGCTCTCTTCATATTACGTTACACAGCACTAACAGTCACCACCTCGGGGAATATTTCATCCAATGCCAGAAGGCTCCGTTATGCACCGGACTGCACGGCTGCCTTCTGAACAAAACCCTTGATGTTGAAAGCATCAGTGCCCTTTTTGGTAATAACACCCTGCTAAGTGAACACAAGGTCATCACATTCAAACACAATAGGCTCTAATTGATTATATCACATAGAGATGAGTGAGTATACCTTCTCGGTTATGATACCGGTTATTAAATTGGCAGGTGTAACATCGAAAGCTGGGTTCCAGACAGCAATTCCAGATGCAGCAACTTGTTCCCCGAGCCCTCCGTGTGTGTTCAACAATTCCTTTGGGGATCTCTCCTCTATTATTATCTCTTCCCCGGAGGAAAGAGATAAGTCGATGGAAGTGAGTGGTGCAGCCACGAAAAATGGAATGTTATGGTGCTTTGCACTTACGGCAAGACTGTAGGTTCCAATCTTGTTAGCGGTGTCACCTGAATTAAGTAAATCAGTTACACAAACCTCCATATGAATAGAATGCTAAAGCAGATGAGTGGTAGATTCCATTTCAAATACCATTTGTAGCCACACGATCTGCTCCAACAACTACAGCATTCACACGTCCAAATTTCATTAATGCAGCTGCAGCAGAATCTGCTATAAGAGTGCCCGGTATGTTATCATGCACCAACTCAAATGCTGTGAGTCTGGATCCCTGTAATTGATTTATAATCGTGTATCAATAACATTCAGTAACGCATTTTGAATACTTTCACTTAAGTGAGTAGATAAATACAACTATCAGCTCAATGACCTGACATTTACACCACAAGGGTGGCTAAATATAACACCAATGCAGGCTTCCAACCATGTTCAGATGTAATACTATATCCCAATGATACTTTCACCCGACTTCAATCAACAGCATGCTACCACTCTCAAGACCACTTTGTTTAACTAATATCAACACTTAACATATGTGAATATCACGAAATTCTGTGGAGAATGTTTGATGCCAAGAAAAACTTGAACACCTAAAGAGTAGACACTCACTTGGTTGAATGGACGTGTCTCTGTACAATAGGCCCTTTCTAACACTCCTTCGGTATGAAGTGAACGGATGACACCAAGAGCAGTACCATAACCAGCTGTTGCTAGACTGCATTTACAAAACATATCACGGTCAGACAAAACCAATACGAAAAATTCAGTGTATATTGTAAAACCACCCTTTGTTTGTTCAATGTAAATAACCAAATCATCAAGTATGCTTTCGCGGGAAAATACCTGCCAGTGTTGCAATGGGTCAACATAGAAATGTTCTTAGAGTTTCCCAGCAGGTGTTGAATAAAATTTGCTCCATGAGATCCAATAGCCTTGTTTGAGGCTACATCGTCCTTGAGCATGATTTCGGAAGCTTCTATGTAAGCCTATCAAATTGAGCAAACAAAGCAAGTACAACGGATCAATAGCATTATCAAATAGATTCTTAGGGCCAAAATCAAACCACAAGAAAAGTAATGTTTCAGATTTCGAAGGATACAGCACCTCAAACACTTTGCTTGCGTCCGAAGTAGTAGTGGCAACTTCGGATGCAATTTGCTTCAGTTTAGCTGCAGCATCCGAAAGATTGACAGCAGTTGGTCGGCTAAAATGGACACCACACAATCAGAATGCCGCATCAATTCCACAATTCAAAACTTGAAAACTACAATTAACATGCTTAACCTGGAGACAAGGTACTCCAATTTCATGACAATGAAAGAGAACGCTTCGTCGGGGGTTCCATTGAAATCCTCCAAGTTAAAAATTTCCACAGCCAATGAGAGAGCCGCCGCGATAGCAATGGCGGGTGCGCCGCGCACCACCATATCTTTGATTGCGTGCCTGAAAAAGAAAACAAGAACCCAATTCGCAAAACCAGAAAACTAAAAATTCATAGCACTTGGAAGGATCAAAGCTTCAGTCTTTCACCATCCATCTGTGGAGTCCCGGATATCCAAATACGTACTTTGCAATGGGAGCTTCGTCTGTTCAAAACCCACAAACCTAATAGTTAAATTCAACCATTTTTTCACTGAGAGAGAGCTTAATCCCATAAAAAAAAACAAATAAATACAATTGAATTCTTAGAGAGAGAGAGAGAGAGAGAGACCTGATCGAGTAGCTGAAGGGAGCCACGCTTGTAGCAAATGGCCTGGAGGGAGTTGGGCGCTGGGGTACCGTCTGTGAACTCCGAATTAGGGGCCATTTCCAGCTGAGCCTAGTACGACGACGTTTCCAATTGCGTTAGAGTTTTAGGGTTTTCAGTGGTAGAAGAAGGAATGGGAGGAGGAAAATTTAACGTTACCTGACGGTGCTGCTTCTGCTTCCGGTCAGCCTCTCTCTCCCCCTTCTTCTTTTTCTGTGGAACGGGCCCAATACTACAAAATTTAGGGCCCATTTGGCATGTGATTTTTAAGGACAAGATTGTCTGCCCACCATACCCTTCCGTGCCCTCCTGTTTGTGTGGTTACGGTTAAATCACGTCAACATTTTATATTATTATTTATTTTTATCTTATTATCTCTATAAAAAAATAATATAAAATGTTAATGTGGCTTAACCGTGACCACACAAAACAGGAGGGCACGGAAAGACACCGAAAATGGAATGGCAGACAATCATTGTCCGATTTTTAAAGGTTGTATCATTTTTTACAAAACTAGGGACCGTTTGGCATGCGACTTTAAAGATTATTGTCTAGAAATGCTTTTAGAAATACTAAAAATGCGTATTTATAAATAAAGAAAAATTTAACGAAAAACTCTCAGTATTATTTATTTTTATGAAAAATCATATTTTTACATTAAAAAGTCAATTCTTGTACTATTTACTTCACCATTTATTTTATCTTTATCGTTAAAACTCAAAGTTTTTAAACAATTTTCATTAGTTTAAGTGTTTTTTTTTCTAAAATGAAAAACGTTTATTGATAAAAATGTTTTTTTACATAAGCAAGACTCACAAACGTTTATTGATAAAAATATTTTTTACATAAGCAAGACTCACAAGTTCGTGCTCCTCTTGAATTGAGACCGCAACTTAGGACTCGTGACATAATTAGTTTGGAACTCAAAACCAGTTATCTTTGGCTCAAAATCTAATCCCAATATTCGAGATCTAAAATAGGACATGTAACTTATTGATTGGTTGTCGGTATGGAAATCAAAAGTATGGAAATCAAACTTGTGGTCAGAGATAAGCTGAAATGACTCTATAAGTCTTTTTTACTCTAAATAAGGATGGTTAACCGTGGTCTGCCACAGTTGCCTCTCTTTTTGAAAAAAACAAAGAAACAATAGTTTCACGAGAAGTATCAGCTCTCCATCAGCCAACAACAGTACCAAACCACTCTTAAAAAGGTCAATGTTAAAGAGGCACAAGCCAAGAAAATATTCGAGTGAGAAAAAGTATAGTTTAAGTGATTTGTCCAGTATCAAGAGACGGTGAATGTGACTTGTCAAGTGGTCCTAAGTATATATTATGAATTTCACTTTTCACTTTTTTTTTAATAAATAATATTATCAGAGAGGAGGTGAGCTTAGCCTCACAATGAGCTAGCAATAATGTGGTTCAAGGGTGGTTTTTGACGAAAATCGAATCTAAAACCTCTTACTTACAAGTGAAGAGGAATATCATTAGACCATAGTACTAAGTGACTACGTTTATTTCTTTTACGTATTTCATCAATTATTATTTTATATATTTGTTGGGTCTTAGCCACTCATTTACTTCCTTGATGTAGATAATATCGTTTATTAAAAAAAAAATCAACTAATATTTTTGTGTGAAAAATATGGGTCAGAAAATGATCATATTTGGCTGTACCATTTTGAATACTATTGTAGTTTTGACTACTTTTCTTCTTTAAAAAATTACAGTTTTTGTAAGAAAAAGTTCCTTCAAGGAGGAATAAGAAAGGAATGGAAGAATTTAGAGTTGATTTGATTTCTGATATTTAGATATTTAATTACAAATTTTAATAGAATGTTAATATTTTTTTTATTTTCATGAAAAATTTAGAACCGAACTGATTTCCGTTCTTTGTATTATTTTAATAAACATAGACAACTCAAAAATCAAAATAATTTTAATTCTCAAGTTTTGTAAATAAATATGTCTTAAAATAACAAAACAAATATGTCCTAAAATAATAAAAAAATAAAAAGAAAAATTTAGATTATTAAAAATGTTTTATGTAAGAAACTGACGTACTCTCGTGAAAGAAAATGATGGTCACAAGTCAAAAGTCATTGTGTCGTCAAACCTCACCGATTAACAAAAGTTTTTTCTTCATTTAGAAAATAAATATAACGACCAAAACAATGTTTTTTTTCTTCATCTCTCAAAAAATAATATTTAATTACTTAAGGATACGTATAAATTTTTATTCAAAATTCTTCATATTTGTATTACAGAACATTGTATTTATAATTAAAACCGTTCAAATTATGAATTATTATATAAATATCCTCTACAAAAAATGAATTAAAACTAGATTGCTTAGTCAATATATTGTACCAAATAAATAGAAGATTCATAATGCTTTTAGTAATTTCATTCATCTATTTTTATACAGTTCGATTACTAAACGATCTTAGTTTTAATTTAATTTTATGCAGAAGCGACTTTATAAAATGATTTATAATATAAACAATTCTGATCATAAGAATAACGTTCTATGAATTGGTAACGAATAATTTTATTTAGTAGCAGAAAAAGAAGATTTTATTCTAATTTAAACACAAAACTATATAATTTAATTGAAAAAAAAATTAAAAAAAACAGTTGTCGACGCGCATAGTGTTTGAATAATCCGTAACGATTTCTTTCCTCAACTGTAATGCGCCTCAACGCGTTCCGTCAAATCCCCAGCCCTCCCACCAAACTACCAGACTTTCCATTTCCCCCTTTTTTTCTCCTAACAAATTTCTCACACGTCTTTCCATTTTCTCCACAAATTTTCACTTAGCTTTCTCAATTCGGTAAATCCGGTTTCTGGGAAGAATTGCTGGCGTTTTTGGGCGGTTTTCGTCTCAGGTAATCCGGTCTGTCTTCTTCTCAGATTCAGCTAAAGTTTCAAGCTTTAATTTGTATTTTTTTCCCCAATTTAGCTACTTGTATGCAGGAAACGAACCCTTTTCAGATCCGGGGGTTTTCCATTGGAGAAATGCTACTGTTTCAGCTTCGAATTCGAAGTTTTGTATAATTTAGGACAAACCCATGATTGCTTAAGCCTTCATATGCTAGGATTTTGTTTCTGCATTCAATTTGTTTGAGGTGGGGGAGCTTGTTGGATTACTGTTTGTCAATTTAAACCGTTAATTTATGATGCATTGAATCTTAGGCTCTTTCATCGATTCGATGCGTGTTTTTCGTGCGGTAGTAGAGCGAATCCATGTCGATAGACGGAGTTGTTCATTGCTATCTTGTGATTTGTATTGAGCAGACACATTTTTGATACCGGGAAACTGTGTAAAGTTGTATGATGTTTTTAAGTTCTAACATGCTTGTATGATCTTTGTATTGTGGATGTAGAATGAAAGGATGCTTTTATGGACTGAAGGGTAAACACCTCTCTCTTGTTACCATTGTTCTCTTGTGCACTACCATTCTTATATGGGGATGGAAGAAAACCCCGATTCTTACTAACTTGGTACCGCCCCAAACCCGTTTGCATTTGGGTCCAGGTTTGTCTCTACACTTTAGTAGTGCATTTCTTTTCCTTTAGACAAAACGCTGTTGGTTTTCTGTCAATACTCAATAGCTTATTCGTACTTTTCATTTGGTGTTCGGTGCAGAGATAACTGATGATTTTGTAGATAACACTGTACCTTTAGAACAAGAAATAGATGTGGGCAAAGGGGTAGCAACATTTGTCCAAAAGGATACTGTAAAAGAAGATTTACGACTAGGAGCTCCACCAGACTCTGAACAAAACTCTGATAAAAGTGAAGAGATTAGTAGTGACATAGCATCAAACCAGGTTGAGAAGAATGGTAAGTATTGTTTTCCTTTGTGTTCTTGGAGTTAGATCCTTGTGAAGAGTTTGTGATTGATATGTTGGTTTTCTGATTGTATATCTTAAGTTGTCGTACGTCTTGTAATTCAAACTGTTGTGTTTACTAGAGTAGCATGGTGGTGTTGTGCCAAATCAAGTATTCTCTTAAAATTATCTTGTTATGATGTTACTATCTTGTTTTTCTTTTTGTACAGACATGTTCAAATGTTGACATTCATCCCTGTAATTCTATTTCTCTTGTCAACATGTCATCTATATGCTTTAAACATCAAGTAATAATATGGACTTGAATTGTATGTTATTATGGTGCAGGGATTTTAACAAGTGTGTCAAAAGAAAGAGAAAAACATAAACAAGTTCAGGAAGCAGAAATAGATGGCAAGGCCGTTGATGTAAGACAGAAAGAAAAAGCAGAGGAAAATAATGCAGATGTACAAAAGCAAAATGGGGAGATAGGGACATCATTAGGTTCTACGTATGCAAATACCTCAGTTGACAAGTTGACAACACACACGCAAACTCCAGGTAATAATCTCTTTTAAGTTATGCCATAAAAGAATCTACCTAGACCAATTTGTTATTTGTTAGCTTTCGTGATTATATTACTGATTGTCGTTTATCTGACGATAGCTCCAGTCTGCAATTATGCGAAAGGAAAATGGGTTGTGGACCATAAGAAGCCTCTGTATTCTGGGCATGGCTGTAAGCAATGGCTGTCAAGTATGTGGTCTTGCCGGAAGACACAGCGCACGGATTTTGCCTATGAGAAGGTTTCATGGCAGCCCAAAGATTGCCAAATGGAAGAATTTGAAGGCTCTAAGTTCTTGAAAAGGTATTAAAATGTTAAAATTAAACAGTTTCGATTGCAAGGTTTCATATTAATACTATCTTTTTTATTGGATCTGGTCTGATGTGACCTTAGCCCCCTCGTATGCATAAATCTGATCTATAATGCTTGTTTCTCCTATAGATGCAATCCATTCTGCGCTCAAGTTAACGAACAAGTTATGTTGTTTTAGTTAGTAGATCTCTTATTTCGTACACATAAGTATCAATCGAGGATTCGGTGGCTTCATAGACCATTAGTGTTTCTACACTTGACCTTGCTAAGGCTTGCAGCACTTTCCAAATAATGGACACCTCATAAGATACCTTGCATTTTAGTTTCTCTTGTCCGTTCATCTATTTGAAGAATTTAAGTTTTTAACCTTTTTTTCTTTAGGTTTTAATCACTTTGGGTGATTTATTTGCTTATTTTTCTTCTTTATTTGTCATAGCGACTATAGCCTGACATACTGTGATAATGTGAGTATTGTATTATTGTATTCAGGATGCAACACAAAACTCTAGCTTTTGT